AAAAAAAAAAAAAAAAAAAAAAAAAAAAAAAAAAAAAATAAGAAAAAGCCAAACATTTTGATAATTATAAAATAATATTATAAATATTTGGTAAAAAATTAAGTTATAACTACAGTTCATTAATTTTTGATTTACAACAAAAACACAAATTCGAATGATTTTGTCCAAATTAACTTCTTTTAAAGTAACCATTTTTTGTTTTTGTTTTTCTTATTATTTATAAAATTATTGAATATTTATATTACAAAATCTCTCCTTGAAAAAAAAAATAATAACAATTTTTTACTAGATATTCCCCTCTATGGCTCTATGTTGAAAATTGAAGCATTTTACTGCTTAAAAATATAACGAGAAAAAGACACAAACATAAACTAGTAAAATTAATACATTTATTGCTATATTTAAAAACTTAAAATACTAAATAATAAATATATTAGTATATTATTTTTTTATTTTTTTTGCTTTGAGTTAAAAAGTTGAATAATATGGCACTAAAAAATTACTAAGCCAATGAAGTTAGTAAACCAACGTGGTTTTCAATATTGTAGGTAGTTGTTAATGATTATCAGTAATTAGTAAGTTCTAAGTGCTTTTGTTCTATAGATAATAATAATAACTACCTTGCAAAATTAGATTTTACTAAAGTTTAAATACTAAATTATTAAATTATTGTTGTATTTTTTAATAAAATACGTATAATGGCAAGTATAAAGTTAGAATATCATAATAAATGAGCACTTAAAAGTAGGTATTCAAAATAATGTACATAACATTAGATTTTAAAATTAACATAGCATTATAGATAGTTCTTGAACTAAGAATTTAGTTTAAACCAATATTTGACTAAATAATTATAATTAAAAGAAAATTATCACATTGTAGTATAAAAGTTATATTATGTATCTCATTTTTAAGGTGTCTATAAAATAAATACATTTTTTTTTTATTAACGCCTTTCCAAGTTTCATGGTTACAATTTAAATAAATACATACAATGTTGATTATTTAGGTAAGTATTAATGCACCATTTAAAAAATATACAATTCAAGGAATAGTACAGTTGGATAGAATTCAAAGTCATAAACAGGCTTTTCTCACCTCTGTGATAACTTTATATTATGCTTAATGAATAATTAACAATACAAATAAAATTCAATTAAAATATTAATCACGGTTTTAAAAAAAAAATTAAATATACTACAAGTGCAACTCTGTGTACAGAGTTTCCAAAAGTTTCTGTAATGAAAAAAGAAAGTTTTTTTTATATTTTATCATTGAGCTTAAAACACTTATTGGAAATATTTAAATGGCTCTATAATTTAGTTATTGTCATAAACTAAATATTTGATCTAGAAAAGTGCTATATAAAATCTTTTAAATTTTTTTCTATAAAAAGAAGTGTTCTAACAAAAAAATAATAGAAATAAATCATTGATAAACAAATACATTTTTTGAATACATAATTTCCAGAATTTAGAATTTAGTGATAAGGTATAAACCAAGTAGGTAGTTGATTTCAGTTCGAAATAAGATTCTTGTTTGTGAGTGTATAATTCTATTAAACATAATTTTAAAGCCATAATTCACCATAATAACAGTCAGTTTTTATAAAAAATAAAATGTTTTATTGTTAAGATAATAAAGGTAATTATAGAACTGCCGTAGGATATTATGTAGGATATGATATACACTTACAGACTTATAGAAAATAAAATTTCTTATTGTTAAAGAAATAAAAGTAATTATACGATTGCCGTAGGATATGTAGATCCATCGTTTTACTCAAATCAATATTAATTGAACGTCATAATTATATAAGATGATTAGTTTAATGATTCCAATCAATCCTGTAAAATTATTGTTTAATATGATTTAATTATAACATTTTTGGTTCTCCAATAGTTTTAAGTTTAAATGTGTGAGGGTTACTTTTTCTTAGATAATACTTTATTTATAAATACACATTAGGTACATTAATGCAATTAAACCTTTTATTATATAAATATATTTTTTTTAAAAACAATAGGCATGCATACAATTATATAATAACTACCTATATTGTTTTATTATATGATCTAGTATTTTTTTTAAAGGTCATATATTCGGAAAAAAATATTAATTGCACAGTATGAAGATATAATATGTAAGTTTAGCCAATTAACATTTCTTAGTTTAATTCGTGTATTTTTTTTCCTCGAAATACATGATTATTTTTGGTTATTTGTTTATTTTGAATAAAACCATGCGTACTTACTATCCTAATCTAAGAAAATTATATAATTATTTAATATTTAAATACAAATTTTAATAACATATTAATATAAAAAATACTAAATTATTTGTAATATGTAATATATCAATATATCAATGTATAATATATATAAAATTAATAAGTATACACCTAATTTTCATTAACTTTTATTTAAATGTAATTATCACTACTAACTAGGTATTAGAATAAATTTAAATAAACTATTGGCTATTGACAATGTGAGAAATATATAAATTATCAGATTTATGTTAAGTATGGCCTTCGATAAAATATGTAAAAACCATGGAAGAATAAACGTGACTAGGTAATAAAAGATAAATAAATTAGATAAGTAATGAAACAAAATATAATGTTTGTATAGTATCCTAATTTTATCATAAATCTATAAAAAACTTTCATTGAAGTTACTATACTATATTGAAGTTCTTATAAGTGCAATGTACCTATAAATTTACCTCTTTTGAGGTAAGTTTGCATATCAATCAAAATAAATATACAAAACTCTCAAGTATTAAAAACTATGATATAAAAATTAATTCATTTTTAGAACCATGAAAATATTTTTCCATTCTTCAATAAAAATAGCTGTTAAGTATTTCGCACTAATATACTTACTAGCACATTGTTTAAATAGAACGTTAAGTTGGTTGCAGGTTTAGAAGTCGGTGACGTACAATTTGCTATTAAAGTATCACCTGGATCATATTTATCTTTATCTGTTACAATTACTGGTTTTGATTTTGGTAGTTCTGAAACAAAACAAAATTATAATTATATGAAATTCGTCTGTGGTGTTTAAGCAAATACAAATATTTTTTATTAATTTCGTAAAAACATTGTTTTTTTTTTTTACATTTTAAAATTAAATTTATTTATAAATAATAACAGTATAGAATCGCAAATTGTTAATAAAATATTGATATATTAAAGGCATGTGATAAATATAATGAATAATGACATTTATTCATTTAACAGATGACCAATTTTACAAAGAGCTTGAAAATGTATTTAAAATACTTAAGAATATAAAACGATAATCGTTTTTTTTTATATGTGTATTGTATAATTATTGTTATATTTTATACATTATGTAATAAAAAAAAAAATAAGAATTAACAGATAAAATAACTTTTATTTATTTATTTTTTTAATAATTACTATGATTTTAGTTAATATTAAATTGAAAATATATTTTTAAACATTTATAAGAACAAAATGTATAACATATAGTAATTAAACATATGAATATTATATATATATTGGATATGTCATGACGCTTTCATAAAAATAGTAAAAATTTAAAAATAGTGTACAATCTTACAATCTACGATTATGTTTTTTATTCTGTCGGTAGTAAAAAAAGGCATTGTAAATAATTGTTATAAATTGTAATGATAATGGTTGTAAAAACGTCAAATAAATTTTCTAAAGTAATTCTAAGTCTACACACTATTGTGTATTAGTGTAAACGTACAAAGATCACTTCAATAAAAAAAAAAAAATTGACCATGCAATGTTTAGATGTTTAAAGTAAAATCTTTATTGTACATCAAGTTCAAAATAAAAATTTTAGAATAACACTATTTTTTAAATTAATATTATTTTTAACTCACTGAGAAAACTAATAAAGTTATTATTGAAGCCAACTACTTTAACTGTGTATAATAATAATAATAATAAAAATGATAAAAAAAAAATATGATATGATATGCAATTATGGCATAAAATGTATTAAATAAAACCATAGAATTATATACAATTGCAAACTTAAGATTTACCATACAAAGTTATATAAATATAATATAAGAGACTTTGTATAAATATTTTTCTTTTTAACACATTAGTGACTATAACTTATAAGTATCATTTTATATTTTTGTTGTTATTAAAATAAATTTGAATGTTTAAGAAAATTTTAAACTTTAATAGTGTAATAATATGTAATGATAATTTACGCATAATAATTTTTGAGCAAAACCTATAATAACATAAAATTTAAAATTTTCGATGTGATTTAATTTTTACGATATATACAATTAGATTACATTGTGTAAAATAATGCTTGATTAATTAAAAAAATATAATTTGTAAATATTTAAAAAGTACAGAAATCTAAATCCAATATACATTTTAGTTTATTAAGACCCTTATTGATTATTATTGTGTTAAAATGTAGGATTAGACTTTTAATGTTAAATATTTAACTTATTAAACAAATTTAAATTTACTGTTATTAATGTACTTTTAACTCAACTAATTTTATTAATTATAATTATCTAATTTCCTTTGAAAAATACTATATTAGAAAAAACTAGTTCAATATATGACGATATTTAAAAAAAAAATATCTAACTAAGTAATAACTTTGATAATTTGAAATATTCAAAACAGTTTTGAAAATATATTTTTTAAATTTTAATATAGTATATATCATTGATTTTTTGTTCGTACTTTTCATAAACATTTCTATACAAACTTTTTGTGATATTAAATTTCTCACATATTATCTATGCCACGAGCAAAAAGTTTCTTCATAATAACTTATAATTAAAATTTAAAATAAAATAATATAATAGCTTAAAAATGTATATTCTAATTTTTAGTCGATAAATAACTAAAATAAATAACGACAGTTAATAATAACTTGTATATTTGTTTTAAATATTTTATATTCTAAATTATGTTGAAAATTATTTATATATTTTAAAATTGTTAATTTATTAACTATTTCACCTAAAAAATTACCTATTTGCAGTTTGAACAATCCTTCAATAGCATAAATCCAATTTTATAACTTATTAGTTATTAGCAATTAGTAAACTTACCAGAATGACTGAGAGTCTAAGAATAAAAATATATAAAACATTTAGTATTCTCAAATATGTGTTAAATTAAAAACAATTGGTAAGTTAATTTGTTCTTAATTTTTTTATTAAAGAAATCAACAATTTTTTAATAATAGAATTTTAAAAATCATTTAATTTTATTGAAATTCTACATTTAGATAGATACACACGAAAATTAAGTTTCTACTAATGTAGAGTATATGTGGAATATGTGCTCTACTTTTTTGAGTTATTGAAAACATTACTAGAGATAAACCGAATTAATAAAAATTAATTTAAACTATGTATATTTCATATTTATAGTTTGTATATAAAATAAACTAAATAGATGATAGAGAAAAAAAAATTAACAAAAATTAGTGATTCAAATTTGAAATCGTGTTAAATTTTAACCTTATCTTTATATTTATATAGATATATCTTAAATTTTGGAATATAACTAGATTATTTATAAATAAATAAAATCAATTTTAATTTTTTACACTACAATTAATTCATTCATAAATATTTCAATATCATAAATTGTCTTTTTGCCTTTAGTTTTGTCATCAATATATTATATAATTGTTCTTATTTTAAAAGTACCCATAACACGTCATCTTAATATATTAGCATAACACAATTTAAAATTAACACTTTACCCCAGATCTGATTAAAATTCTCTACTTAAGTAATAAATCATTGAAATACAGTATATAAGTATTATAATGCTATTTTGTTAAATTTCTGTAATATTTTTATAAATATAATTAAAAAATAAATAAATGCCACAGTTTAAATTTATGAATCATGGGTTTTTAAGAAAAAAATAAAATAACTCGGCTTGTCTGCATTTTACAGTTAACAATTATACAATTTATTTGATTTTGTAAGTATTATGAATCAAACTCGTTTAATGAAAAGATAAAACTGTTTTATTGAATTTCAAAAACTATAATAACTATACACTTTTATTTATATTTTTTATAATTTTTATGTTTTGATTTTTCGGTTATAATTATACATTATGATGATATATATATATATATATATATATGTATATTATATTTAATAATATAATATGTTTATCATTTAATATAGGTACTTAATATTTCTGTAATTACGATAGTCTAATTAAATAAATGTATCGATCGATTTAACAAACTACTGTTACAGATTTTAAAAAAACGAATTCAATAATAATAAAAAAAAAAAGTTAGGTAAGTTGGAAATCTTACCTATTTGGGAAAAATAATATTTTTAATATTTTTATACATCAATATAAGACATTATTTTGGGATTTTGAATTAATTTTTCAAAAATGTTGACCTAGCAAAAAATTTTTTATTGTCATTTATATAAAAAAAAAAAAAACTAAAAGAAATGAAAATTTTTCATGCCTATAAATAAATCAAAAAAAATTAAAAATATTTAAAACTTTATCATATAATGAAAACGATAGTATAAAAATTGAGTGAAAATTTTATGAAACTATTATTTGTTTTTGAATTAAACAAAAACAAAATTGTTAAAAACTGGATTTGCGTAAAATGTCCATTTATTTTTTTTTTCCAATCATAATAATAAATACTGTGCATTTTTAAGTTTGACTTCTTTAAAGTACAAACTAGATTCCGTTTGATATCTAAAACTACTTCCATTTTTGATAATTAAAACATTTCACTGATAACTTATCATGTACCCATGCACAAAAAAAAACCATTAAGATAAAATCAATACATTCATCTCTTTGCTTAGTATTTAAAATAGAATTTTTAAATAATATTATTTTATTGATAAAACTAAAGTATTTTCATCTAATGAATTTAAATTTATAAAGCTATGTGTGCTTTTTCATCACAATTAATTGATATATTTAAAATGTATATAATTAGTTTTAAGCAGGGCTTGCAAAAGTTATAATAATGTTATGATTATAACGTTATATTTGACAAAAAATTATTAAAATATGTAATGTAATTATAACAGAAAACGATAAACATAAATAGTTAAATAATAAACATAACGATTAACAAAGTATATGATATATCATAAAACAAATCATAACGCAAAACGTTAAATATAGTATATCATTAAATGAAATAATTAATTTCCAATTATTTTATAGTTATGATTTATACAATATATTAAAAATTTTAATTCTAAATAGCGATAAACACAAAAGTTGGATAACGTTTAAATTCTGAATAACGATAATTTCAAAATGTGTATAATGTTTTAATTGTAAATAACATAAAACATTTTTTTTTTTCAAATGCAAGCCCTGATTCTAAGTGATCGAATATGCTTCAAAAGGTATTTAGGTAATAATAATACAAAACACTCAACTATTAGCTCTTATAACTTATCAAATAATAAGTTATCATATCACAATACACTTGTTTTATTTAATAATAATTAAATTAGTATCCATTAATGTTATTAGTTATTGTTATTTGATAACAATGATTATCAATATAATTAATTTTATTATAATATATAAAAGTATTAATTTATGTTAAAGGATTGTACAGTTAGTATTACTTGAACTTAAAAGAAATGTTACTAATAGTTAAACAGCAAGAATATTTGGAATAACGACACGTCTTGTTATTGAATAAAAGTTAAATAATGAACGATTTCATAAATTTATTTGTACATTTTTTTTCTTCAAATATTTAAAATTATTGCATTTATTCGTCGTACGTTTTTTTTTTTTTTTTTTTAATAATAAGAGCTTTCTGCCAAAGTTGCATAGCTATGGAAAGGTTGTTAAAAAAATAGATTTACGCGTTTAACAGTTTTGCTTGCGGCACTCCCCTCCAATCATTGGTAAAGCCATAATGCTGGGGTAAAATTTATGTACTGACATAAATCGTTAACAGCGAGATTCAATGTGTCGCCAAAAATCCCAGCTATTTGTT